CACACACACAAATAAAAGAAAAAAGAGCAGCAGCCTTCCTCTCCAAAGGCAACTGGGAATCTAATACTACAAATTAGTAGTATAAATTTATTTTATTTCAGCGGCGCATCCACACGTGTGTGCAGGTGCATGTGCTTGTGGACACCTGGAGGCCAGAGGACATGAGTGTTCTGCTCTAGCACTCTCTGCCCCATTCTCTTGAGACAGGGTCTCTCAGTAAACCTGGAGCCAGAACCAATCTTCTCCACCTCCCGGCAAGACCAAACAGTGGTCCTCCTGTATCTGTGTCTGCCCCATCCACCCAGCCCCCAGTGCTGGGATTAGGCCTGCACTACCACACCTGGCTTTTTATGTGGGTTTGGGGGATGCTTGTGCTTGTACAACAAGCACTCATCTCCCTAGCCCCTGATTGGCATTTGATAGAATAATAAAGCATGCTTTTTGCCTGACAAAAGCAACTTAAAGGAGGAAGGGTCTATTTTGGATGAGAGTTCAAGACGATATATACCATTACGATGGGGAACACATGGTAGTAGGCATGTGAGGCAGCTGGTCACATTACATTTGTAGTTAGAAAGCAAAGAGAGAAGAATGCTGGTGTTCAGATCACTTTCTCCCTTTTGTTCAGTGGGGCCCCAGCCCATGGGATGGAATTACTCATATTCAGGGTGGGTCTTTTCTCCCCCATTAAACCTACCTAGAAATGCCCCCAAAGACACACCCAAAGGTGTACCATATTAATGCAGTCTGTTGGAAATGAATTTTTGTGTATACACCAAGGAAGGGACCAAGATATATATTTTTTCTCCACCTGGGAATTAAGTTGATTCAACACCATTATTGAAAGGCCATCCTTTTTCCATTGCTCTCCAGAATCGCTCTTGTCAATATCAAGTGTCCAAACATATGAAGGTCCACTTTTGGACCAGCTGTTCAGTTCCATGTGTTGACTTGACTGTCCTTGCATATTATACTGTTTTATAATACAAGCTTTATAAAAAGGTGACTTTCAAGGTCACTTTTTGTTATTACCTTGGCTATACTTGCTCTTTACATGTTTAAGATATAAATCTTAGCTATATATTATATTTAAAAATGATTCTTTGCTTAGTATTATATTGGATCTGTAGGTGAATGAGAAAAGAATTAGTGTCTTTACAATAGAGTTCCTGAACCTTACATTTATTTAGGAGTTTTTTTAGTTTCAGGAGTGTTTTATGATTTTTGTTAAAAGCCTTTTATAGTATTTAGTCTACACATTTGTAAAGAGTATTTTTAAGATTCCATGTTCTAATTACTGAAAATTTTCTACTTATTTTGTGTGTGCATTCATATGAGTGCCATCCTACTCATATGAAAGGTTACAACTTGCAAGAGTAGGTTTTCTCCTGTCACCATGTGAATCCTGGAGAATTAAACTGAGAGCATCATCCTTGGCAGCAAGCACCTTTACCCACTGGACCGTCTTGCTGCCTCCCATATTTTAATTATTTTCAGATATATTGAAATAGAGTTGACTTTTGTATATTGACATTGTAGTGAGAAACCTTGTGGAATTCCCTTAATTATTCAAATAGTCTGTAACTTTTGTAACTATTCTTCTGGATTTTATACATATTATAAAAGTAAAACCAGAATGGAACTTGAGAAGATTGATAGTTAAAGCATGAGAAACATATCTCTTGTAGAATTTTTTGTGAGTTTTGTGTGTGTGTGTATGTGTGGGTAGGTTTGTGTGTGTGTGTATGTGTGTGTGTGTGTATGTTTGAGAGAGAGAGAGAGAGAGAGAGAGAGATTACACAAGTGTGTGCCTACATGTGGTGCCAGAAGACAGCTCTGGGTGCATTCCTCAGGAGGGACCTGTCCTCCTTGTTTTTGAGACATCTCTCATTGGCTTAGACTGGCCAGCCAGCCTAACCTTCGCCTCTGAAGTAGTAATTGCATTCTTCTTTGTAAGAAATACCCACAAAGTGTTTGAAAAATCATGGGCATTATTTCAGAAACTTACTCTCACTCTCACATTGTTCAGGAAGATTTTTGTGTGTCGTACAACTTCTATAATTTATTTTTGTGATTGTTTCAAAATAAGTCAAACTTCATTTATTTCCAGAATGGACCACCAGGTGGAGGCCTCCGACCAGTGAGCCGGTCTTACTTAACCCTTTCCTTCTTGGATGTTTAACAGCCATATTTTAAGGCCTTTACTAATTTGGTCAGAGACATAAAGGACAGTTTTTGCTCCTTGCCCTCCTAGGTCGACTACGTTTCAGGGGACTATGAGCATCTCTCAAAATGTCCTTTAACTGTGGTGAGTCACCTGTCCTCTTGATCAAGGAGGCCATGGAGACCTCACCAAATGGACTTGAACCAGTGTCCAGTCTACAAAGAGGAGGGTCAACACAGAGAAAACATGTCCTCCATGCTTCCAAGTGAAGCCGGCTATGGTCAAGCAGGACCTTTGACTTATCTTCACATAGAAGGAACTAGTAAAAGAAAGGAGCCAGGGGCTCCTCCCAAGCCCATGTGACCCCTAAGGAACAGACCCTCAAATGACCTTAAGTGTAAAAAATAAATTGGTTTATCTGGGCCCAAGAGGAAAGTATAACCAAAGATTAAAGGGATCAATGTAATTCTTTAAGAGTCTGTGTATGGCTAAAGGACACATAACAAGAAACAATGCCAGACAGGAGATACCTTCCTTTGAGTTGTTGGCCAGGATGGCCCAAGAGACTCCCAGACAGTAACCCAGCATAGAACTGGGAAAATTAACAGCAGACCCCAATCTTATCTAAAGGAATGTTGGCAACTGATTGCTGCTAGATGAGGAAGAGATGATCTTCCTAAAACAAGGAACTCTAGACAGGCTGACTAGATTCAGCAGATAGACAAGCACTGGGGAATGGCTGGGGGTGCTGACAACACAGGGGGCAGTAACAGGGAGAGTATATGGGCTCCAGTGTGTGTGGGGGGCTATGGGAGGGTGCTATTTGGGATGTGGTATATGGATGAATAAGATTGTTTGGGATGTTCTGTATGAAATACAAAAAAAAAAAAAAATTTAAAAAAGAGATATTTGAGTAAGCGAAGCATAAAAGTTTGTTTCATGTTAATTAGTAGATGTGAAAAACATTACCATTGAAATCTACCTGATGACTTTATATCCATGGGGGTTGGGGTAAGCTCAGTGGTAGAGCGCTTGCCTAGGAAGCTCAAGGCCCTGGGTTCAGTCCCTGGCTCCGAAAAAGAAAGAAAGAAAGAAAGAAAGAAAGAAAGAAAGAAAGAAAGAAAGAAAAAGAAAGGAAGGAAGGAAGGAAAAAAGAAAAAGGTAGGAAGCATTTCTCTACTTGAAAAGGGTAAGTTTACCTTATTTCAGCATACAAATGGGCAGACTAGAACCATAGGTAAATTTACTTTTCTCATATTGATGATGTTTCAAACATTTTTCTTTTTTTCAAGCTTTCTCAACCTTAGCAGTATTAACATTTTAGGCTGCATAATTCTTTGTTGTCAAGGCTTCACATGCACTGTAGGATGTGTTTAGTAGCACCCCTGGCCTCTACCTACTAGATGGGAGTGCATCCCTCAAGTTCTCAAAAATGTCTTCAGACATGCCGAAGTTCCTCTGGGAAACAAAACTTGGACCTGATCTGGAACTATTATTTTTGGCAATAAGACTTCCTCTGCTCTATCACTTCCTTTTTAAATTTTTTTTTAAAACTATTTTTTTATCTACATGAGTGTTTTGCCTGTATGTATGTAAGTGCACCCATACATACTCATGCAATGCCCCCTGAGGTCAGAAGATGACATTGAAGTCTCCTGAAACTGGAGTTATGGATGGCTGTTTGATGCCATATGGGTGCTGGGAATCAAACCTGGATCCTCTGCAAGAGCAGCCAATGCTCTTAACTGCTGAGCCATCTCTCCAACCCTTCACTTTGGTTCTTATAGGCTCCCTAGAGATGCTAAGGGATTTTTGGTCACTGTTAATATGACTGATCTATAGGCGTGGGGGTCATCGGATGATGGGACTGATCCCCAGGACCTGAGGTGGGTTCTCAGTGTCATATTACATAATGGTTCTGTTTCATGCAGAGACCTGGTTGTTAGGGTAAACCTTAGAAAACCAACTGGGACAAATAAAGCCTGAAATTCATGGAAAGGAAACAGCAGTGGAGACCAAGGCTAAGACATGAACTCCTTTTACCCAGCAGCCAGCACCCTTGTGGATGGACAGAGCCTTAAGATGCTGGAGAATGGCCATGGTTGCCTTTCTTTACATCATCTCTGCTTGCTTTCATTAAAATGTCTTTTTCATGTTTCACCTTTCCATCTTCTGTTCTAAACCCCTATCCTCAGCTTTTCTTCAGCACCTAGAATATTTTCAGACAAGATGTCACTCAGCCATATTATCAATGATTCAAATGCAAGTTTAAGGACACTTCATCCCTGGACACATTCAGGCTACATTGTCCTTTATTGTAATGCTCTGTCCATTGCCTTCCAATTATGAATGTGCCTTTTGTAAAAAGTGCAGTTCTCTTCAGTACCTTGAAAAGTTACATGGTATAAAGTCAGCAGTGGCCTGGGAGGAATGGGCATATGCACTGTGAGGTGTGGAAGAATTTGGCAACAAAGTCAGAAGCTTGTCACCTCTTGAAAGCTAATTTAAAACAAATGTATCACCATTATGTTTGTCCATTTGCAGCATCACACCCTTTCCACAGACAGTCTCCCCCTGGTCTCAGGAAAGTGACTTTCAGTGTGTGGCACAAGGCAGGTCACTTCACCATTGTCCTTGTCTGTGAAATGACAGATTTAGAGGCCATGATCCATGACCATATCCATGATCCTGTCACTTCAAACAAAATCCATAAACATACCCTGTTTAATAGTGTTCAGAGAATCTTTACCTTGAGAATGGGGCATTTGGAAGCAGATATATGTGGTCATTCCTTTGGGGGTGGTACTAGGGATGGAAAAAACCAGAGCCTCCTAATGCTAGGTAACTGCTCTACCACTGAGCTGCACCCCTAGTCAGTCCTTTTTAAAAAGGTGGCATTTAGTCTTTGTCAATAGCTTCTCAATTTCCCACCCCACTGGCTAATCCCTGGATGGGCCAGCCCAGCCACAGTGATGTGGGTAGAAGCTTGCAGGTTGCCGGGTTGGCTTCCTGTCGGTGATGTTCTTTGGGACATATAAAGCTATAAAGGGTTTCTCTCTCTCTCTCTCTCTCTCTCTCTCACTGGGTATTAAACTCAGTGCCTTGTGCATGCTAGGTAAGCACTTTACCTCTGAGCTATATCCTCAGAGCCTGCCTGCCCTCCTTCCCTACTTTGTTTCTTCCTTCCCCTTAAAAAAAACTATTTTATGTGTATGAGTATATTGCCTACATGTATGTAAGTGCACCTGTGTCGTGCAGTGCTCATGGAGGTCAGAAGAGGGTGTTGGATCCCCTGGAACTAAAGTTATAGATGGTTATTAACTGCCATGTGGGTTCTGGGAACCTAATCTGGGTCCTCTTCAAGAGCAGCCAGTGCTCTTAACTGCTGAGCCATCTCTCCAGCCCCATTCCTTCCTTCCCTTTGTTTTTGACACAGGGTTTTTCCATATAGTCCAAACTGACTACTCCTGCCTCCACCTCAGCAGTATTGGGATTACAGATGCCCAGCAAGGAAGTTCATTTCTGATTGAGTTCCACAGGGACATGCAAAATAAGCCTATGTAATCGAAATCTGTCCAAAACTTATCCCTTAGCAACCACATTCCTCCCTCTCTTGAACCCCATCAAAGGAAGCCTCAAACAATAATTGGAACCCTTCAGTACCTTTTCACCCATGTGGCCTGCTGTCAACCTTGACAGTAGATCTGACCTGTTCTATCACTTTGAGTAAAATTTTCCTCTCTATTTTTGTACATTACTGTAACCTTATTTCAGCCCTTTGAATAACAGGTCAAGAACCTAGAAACTCCCAGTCCAGACCCTGACCTCTAATAACGGTTTCCCAGGGGAGGTAAGATCCTTAAGGCTATTTTTCCGGCTCTAGCTACAGTATTGCAAACACACCCACTCATTCCTTCATGTCTCACACTGACAACCCTGCTCCATCTGTGTGTGTGGTGGACAGCTTTGGGTGGCCTGTTCCCAGGGATCTAACTCAGGCAGTCAGACTGGGAGGTAAGCACCAGCTTCCACAAAGAGGGTCTCTTTGCCAAAGGATGCCCTGGGGTTGGAACTCTGGGTTTCCTCCTTTATTCCACTATGTCAACATTTGCTAAAGCCCAGATAAGACCTTTCTTGTGACATTGTGATGGTTAACATTGTCAACTTGAAGGAATCTAGGATCATCTAGGAGAGAGGCCTCTGGGTATGCTTGTAAGGGGTTTTCTAGATTAGATTAGCCTCTGGACAAGTCTGTGAAGGATTAAATAGATTAGATTGAGGTGGGAAGACCCAGTCTGAATGTATCCAATAGCATTCCATGGGTTGGGGTCCCAGGCTGCACGTAAAGGATAAAGTGAGCAGAGCACAGCATTCATTGTCCTCTGCTTCCTGACTGTGGATGCCTCAAGCTCCTAATGCCATGGCTTCCCTGCCATGATGGTCTAGTCCTTGGAACTATGAGCCAAAATGAACCTTCCTCCCCTAAAGAGCCTCTTGTCCAGTATTTTGTCACAGCACTGAGAAAAGTACTTAACACAGACACCAAACAGATCCAGAAACCACAAAGTGATGTGCATTTTACTCACTGGCTAACACCAGTGGGTGTGTAATGTTTTGTGTCCTGGAAAGAAATAAAGGCTCCTTTGCAATGGGATGTTAACTCTTTTATTAACTTAGGGTTAACATTGGACTTGCTTCACTGATGTTTCAGAGTTGTAGATTTAACAGACAACAGCTGGGTCCTGGCCACTCACAGGTGACAAGGCAGACACAATCAGAGGAGAACAGGACAATATGGAGAGAGACGAGGTTGAAAAAATTTAAGGCAAATGTTATTCCCATATTAAAGGGAACTGATCAAGCAGATCTGTGCATTTCAATGAAAATATATGAAATATTTGTCAAAATAATTAACATCGGTAAAAATTAGAACACATAGCTTATAAAATGCCTACACAGGTTTGGCAGAAATAAATCCAGCTGTATCAAGTAGGCTCATACTATACTTGGCCATAGGAGCGTCCACCCTGAGAACAGGACTCCTGACAGCAGAGGCCAAATGCTCTTGAAAAGCAGTTTTGTAGTGTGAAGGGCCAGGTGATTATCGATTCAGGGGCTGGCTTTGCATGTTGTAAGGAGGAATTACTCGGCCATCAGGTGTCTTCTGGCTCCAAATGCCTCCTTGGGACCCTCTGCTGTAGGCTCTGCATCCATGGAGGTGCCGGCTCAGGCCCAGGAGGCCCTAGAGACACAGGTAGAACACAGTCACGAGGACAGTGCAGCTGACTCAGAGCAGAATGCTGCAGAGAGGGCGGGTCTCTTCAGTTTGGTGCTGGACTTTCTAGGAGGTGGCTGCAGTTTCAGAAGGAGCTGACTACATAGAAATAGATTCTATTCCCAGTGGTCATACATCTTATGTCCTGAAACCTATTTTATTTACAGTCTAACTAAATGATCCTCCAGGCTGTTTGATGGTAGGTGATGCACAGCGAGGTGGCTGGGCCCTTCATCATGGGTGAGGACAGCACAGGGTCCTGCCAGCCAGCTCAATGAGACTGACCACGGTCACACAATGCATGGGAGGAGGACCTTATGTGCTGCCAAACATCTCTCCTTTCAGCTTTGGTCTTGAAGTTTCAGTAAACTAGGGTCCCAGAAGCTGCTCTGAAGCTGTAGTTGTGAGTCTCAGAATTTTATTTTGTTCCCATTTTGAGTTCGCCTGGAGACTGTAGCCAGCAAGCAGAATTGGGGGGGGGGTGTAATTTTAGACACATGTCCTTAAGGGCTACCTTTCACCTCATTTGGGTGCCCGGAGATGCTGCAGCAGGACCCGGCTCTTGGGGAGATACAGCTGTCAGATGCAGGGCCACCCCTGGAACAGGCTTTGGCTGACCATCTGAAGGAAGGTGGATGGACAAATGGGTCCATTTGCAGGCAGCTGGCGCCCCTACCCGGCCAGGAGGCATGTACGGCAGCAGAACTGGATGAAGAGCTTCCGTTCACAGAGCCGGTTGGATTTGACCATCTCACAGAAGGTCTCGTCAGCTGGCAACAGGAAAAGGGAAGGAAGGATCAGACTTTGGAGCCTGATAAGATTCAGCTGTTATACATTTGCTGGATACTGATGATGCGCCAGGCACCTGTGAGGAATTTCAATTCACAAATCTGTGAGGCCCAGGTGATACCTGGGGTATAGGGACTTTTGCTGGATTTAAGTGACAAGAGGGAGATGTTCCTGAAGGGAATGTTGGGGGAGGGTGAAGGGTCTGCCAGAAGGGCCCTCAATGCTCACGTGAGCCTCCTTCTGGAGCACTGTGCTGGTGGGTGCTTGGGAAGAATAGTGGAGGAGGGAGAGCAGAGATTTGGGGTTAGACTTCAGGAATGTGATCTAGGGGACATTCTAACTGTGGAGATGGGGAGAGGGAGGAGGGACATTAAGGCAGACAGGCAGGACTCAGTGATGGCAAAGATTGAGGGTGAGGGGAGAGCAATGGAGGCTGATCCCCAGCCTCTGCACTGTCACTAGGAAGATCCTAGGAGACCCTCCTATGGTGGCTTCACTTTCTTGGGCTGAGTTCATAACCTGGGCAGGGACTTCCTAAACAGGAAGCCTCCTGGGCCTTGAAAGGGTAGGATTCTGCAAATCCATAAAGTAAGGCAAGTAGGCCACCTGGTGGACATTAGCAAGGTACTGTGTGGGCCTTGTACTCTGCCAGGGAAAGGCAGTGCCAGCTTCATGCCTAGAGACCACCTGTCCACTGCTGGATATTATGAAGCAGGCAGCTCCCCTCTCCTGCACATCAAGATATGGTGTCTGGTATTGGTTCCATGCAGCTCTTTCCTGCCGCTTGAAGCATGGATCCCCCTTCCCTGCCATAGCATATCTACTCCTGAGCAATGCCTCCAGGATGGGGGCCTCTGCTGACCCTCCCTTCTGTCCGAATCCCCAGTGTCTTTGGTTTTCTTCTGAGTTTCTATTTTCATAACCCCCATCCCCACCATCCACCTGGAAAACCAGAGCCTCCCTGAGCACAGGTAAAGAAACTCTGTAGACAGCCGAGATTCCTGCTGCCGAGCATGAGGTTCAACTCTGAGTTCTGTCCTCCTCGTCTTGAGGATGAGACCTTCCAGCCTGCTTGGCATTGACCTCCCAGGCCAGGCCTCTCCTAATGGGAAGTGGTTATATTCAACCTACCTATGGCCTATGGCAGGGGAGTAGGAACAGTTTAAAAACAAAATTGTTTCTAAGACACCCAGCCAGCTGACTAGTGGGAGCTAGTTTGAGAGGCTACAGGGGCTATGGGAGCCCCAAATGGTCAACTGAATCAGGGGCAGGCATGTCTACTCGAGGGCTGCCATGCCTGCAATTTCTCTTTTCACTCCCTCACAGGTAGCCTGAAGGTCACCCTGCCCAGTGCTCACCATTGCTGCATGTATGGTTAGTGATGCAGGAGGACCCCAGCTGCGTGAAGCCTGCCTTACATCTGCTGCAGTTCCTGCTGGAGCCCTCACAGCTCAAGCAGTTCTCATCGCACCTGTGGGAAGACATCAGTTCCTGTTGAGATTTGGAGAAGAGGCCCCACCACACAGAGTTCCCTGCATGTCCTCCCAAACCCTCAGCTTTAATCTCTATGGAGAGGCTGTAATTGTGAAACATGGACCAAATGTTGATACATCATTCTTCCTGTCTGATCTCCGTTACCATGGGAAGGCAAAGACCATCGTAGTCAGTTGGTAGGAGCATTCCCAGGAATGGAAGCCAGTTCTTGGTCTCAGAGACACTGTGACTCACTGGACATCCTTGTGGACACTGGTACTCTCAGGTGGCTCCCAGAGCCTCCAGCAGCTGCCCAGCTGTAATGGCTGTTTTGAGCTCAAGGACATACTCTACCCAGGGAGGTGACAAAGCTCTTTCAGGAGCTGATCTGAGGAATGCTACCCAAGCTGAATGTCCTTTATTGTCCTGCCTAACAAGGGGAGGGGTGGTGCCCTGGCAATTCCTGCCTTCCTCAGATAGTCCTGGTTCAGCCTGGCACCAGGGATCCTGATAACCAGAGTTCCACAACCTCAGGTGACAGTCAGTGCACCTGAAGTCCTTCTCAAGGTGTACCCAGGAGTCTCAAGGAAACCTGGGTTCACTTATACCTGTTCTGTGCTGCGGTGGTAAAGCTGTGTAGCTGTGAGAGGCAGGTCCCCTAAAGCCTGAATTACTTACTCCTTGGCCCTGTCTGGCCCTTGACAGAAACAACTTGCCCCAGGGCTTAACTCTGCATGATTCCTACCCAGGGCTGTGTGTGTACCCATGCTGTCCTGCTCCCATTTTCAACTCTGGGTAACCAGGTTTCCATAGTGGCTCCCATTTACTTCCCACCTTCCCTGCCACTGTCAGTTAAGTGTGGAACAGGCCTTAAGGATGGAGCTCAGAGAAGAAAGGCAGGGCATTGGAGGAAGGAGCCTCGCTTGATCATGCCTTGGTTGGCCCTGTGCGTTTCATACTTGAGGCAGATGTGCCTGTTGCCATCTATGTGAGACCTTCAGTAACTAGATGCCCTGCTGGTGGTATCTGATCTGGGCTACAAGAACCCTGGTACAGCATCTCTTCAGTCTGGATAAAGTGGCTTTTTCTTCTGAGTGCAATGGAGGATACTGAAGCTAGCTAGAATTCAGGCCCCTGGTTTGAGATCAGTGTGTAAGTCTATACATAGGCAAACCAACTACAGGAGCTGCTCTAACTCCTTCTTCTGCAACTGAGGCCACACCCTATGCTCCTACCAGTGGCAGGAGGGAGGACTGGGTGAGTGACCTGGAGGACTCTGCTTTTATGAGAAGGCTCTGGGGTCTGGTTCCAATCACGCTGTCTCCCAATACTTCCCTCACCATGCAGGATAGAATCTAGTGGCCCAGTTCAGACTATAGCACCAGGGGTGATGTTCCCCTGGAGACTTTCCTAGCACCTTTCACAGACATGTATGCCAGGTCAGCTTTTTCAAGGGATGTTGGTTGTCTGAAGTCTCAGTGGCCTGGGAGAGCTGAAGGTTGCTTCAACTATGAACAGCTATGACATCAAGTGGGCTACAGTGAAAACCCAGCTGGCCATGGCTTAGCTTTTCTTCAGACATCACCTCACTGAACTAGTGGGATGGCAGGTGTTTCAGTTTCCTATTTCTGTGTCACAAACTATCAATAAAACATCACTCCTGAGCAGTTCCCAGTTCTACAGCCAGAAACCCAGGTAGACTCAGCTGGGGTCTTTATGCAAGTCTGATGAGGCCAGGCCTGGGGACAACCACCCTGAGCTCTTATTCAGCGTTCAGGAAGAAGAATGGAGCATGATGCTCCCCTAAATAAGAGGTGGTATCTCCAGTGTCCCACTCCCTAAATGTCTCCTTCACTCCTGCCAGTGCCAGGGGCACTGTTCTGGCAGTGGTCTCTAGCTAGGGCAGAGGCATTCAGGATACCTCTGGTTATTCTGTAGTACTGGCTTCACTCCCAAAATACCTTGGCAGCTTTACCCTACTGGACTCTGGAGGGGTAGCTGTGCTTACCATAGACCTCTCCCATAGAGCCAGAGACACTCCCATCAGGAGTGGGACACAGGCCACTCTCTTCAAGAGTCCTCATCAAGCATCCATCTAAATACAGAATAAAGAGGAAGCATGGCCCCGAGGACCTGTGTACCAACTGAGGATTTGGGGAGAATAGTAAGAGATGGGGGAGTTAAGTGTATCACTGGGGCAAGAACTCCAGGGTTGCTCTTGTTTTCTTCAAGATGTCCTCACTCCTGAGCAAAGATCCTCTCTTACTGCCTTGTGGGTATCTAGCACCTCTTCTGAGATGCTATCATGAAGTGCCTTCAGCCTCAGGTTTTAGCTCCCACCTGTCTTCTTTGTACTCAGGTCAGCAGCCCAGCAGGCCTGTGCCATCCTGACTTTCAATTCAGCCTCCAGTTGGTCACACGTCCCTTGTAGCTGCCCTTGTTCTTCCACATGGGCAACATAGTACCAGGCAGCATACTGGGGCCTAAAGGAAAGCTGTGGCCCTTCTAGCAGCCCGCGTTGGGAGAGGCATGTAAAACCCACATGCACCCAGGCCCATCTTCCTGGGGGAAGTGTCCATACCTAAGGGTTCTACAGGGCCAGGGGCTTCAAAGGACTCCTGGGGGCATTTCTCTAGGACCTGGTATGTCAGCCCCAAGCACTAAACTCTCCTCCGGGGCTGATGGCTTCCCCTCAATTGGAAGCCAGTACCCAGGAAGTCCTGCACCCTGTCCTTGCCAAAGGAGTGCTTGTGGCCTGCCTTCCTCCTGCCCCCTAGAGGCTGGGACACCATGGCCTCTGGATGCCACAGAGGGGTCCATCTGACACAGCATGGGCATAGTTAGCATTGCTGGGAAGCCAGGGCACTTGACAAATGAAAGTGATTATCATCATTAAGCTCCAAGCTCTCTCTGAGCTGCCATCCTTGGTTTAATTATCAGCAAACCAGCTGGCTTGTGAAATTGAAAGGTTTACTGTAGACAGCTGTGCCCAGGGCCCCACATAGGATTCCCTATGGCCAGAGATAAGTTTCTTCATTTTAATCAACACAGCAGGTTGCTGATTCTTGCACAGACTTAAGACCCCCACTAGCCCCTGTTTTATGGGTTGCAACAGTACAAGGACTTGGTCACATCAGCTCACGTGATCACTGTTCATAGGTGACAATCAGCTGTTCTTCTCAAAATAGCCCAGAAGCAGACCACATTGTGGGCCTTCCACTGCTCTGACACGAGTGTCCCAGAGCTGCCTTGTTGAGTCTTTTGCAGACAGGAGCCTTCTGCCTCTGCTTCCTTCAAGCCCCACCTCTTTATCAAATCACTACCTTTAACCTTCAAATGGCCTCACTGCTGCTCTCCACCTCCACACCACAGGCTGCCATTTCTGTTCCAGGGTTTATGATGTCCTGACTGGTACAATTTACAGCCAGTCCAAAGAAGACCAAAGTGCACAGCTTCTCCTCGAACAGCTTGTACTCCACAGCACAAGGGAACATTAAGTGGGACAGAGGCACCCCCTCCCCAAGTGTGTGCACTCACCAGAGGAATAGAAAAAGAGGGCAAGAGGGTTGAAATACACATACACTGTCTATACCACTAGTGGCTTTTCAATGAGATGGTCAGAGTCTTTTTAGTTTGTCTAAAATATCTAATTTAGAAAAAGTTTAACCCCACAGATGTGGTTTTCTTGATTATCTACAGTGTGAGAGCATCCTGTGCCTTGGCTTAGACAGGATTGTCCTGTGTAATCTACTGGTGTGGGAGGCCATGTGGCAGCACCCTGTTAACTCTGTTTCCTGCCCCATCCCACTGCTACTCAGTACTTACTTATGGTGAGTGCCTAATAAATAATTATGCATTAAGTAAAGAGAGGCCTGAAGGCTGCCAAGTGGCTTGTGACTTTGGCAATCACTAACTGCAGGCATCCTTTCCTCAGTGAATGGGTTCCTTTTTACCCTCTGTACCCACAGCAGTGGGTAATGCAGTATGTCTGTCCCCTAGGTAAGGTGCCACCACTCCTAACTCTCCAGATATTCATTCACAGAGCCCATCAGACCACCATTCCACAAGAGCCTGGATCAGAGCCTGGAGGAACATACCTTCGACACACTTTGTGGGGCAATCCGGGCATCTCCTCTGGATAGAAGCCCTCACCACAGGCTGGCACACATTTCCAGTCTTGGAAGTGGAAGTTTTTTGCACAGTGAATACATTCTTCTCTGCTGGGTCCTGAGAGATGCAAGGGAAAAAAGCAGATGTCAGGAGCTGCTAATGATCATGTTCCAGCTTGTTCTGGTGTTCCAGGACATTTGTGGGCATCTTTCTAGGAGCTCTCTGAGGGCTGGTTATGCTGACTCCTGGAGGGAGGTCACCATCCCAACTTCACAGATGGGGACATGAGTCTTATTCCACATGTATCCTTTCCCATCAGGCAACTGCAGTGGCCACACTGAAATGTGTTGGGAGCGTCAAACCAACACACTGTGTTTTAACTGGGTACCAGTGAAGTGACAGTGTCTGAGATTCATTGGGTTAAATAGGATATGGTACTCAAAGCATCTGCACGTGATTCTTTTTGTTTTATGTGTGTTCATGTGAGTGCAGGTGTGTGTGTGTGTGTAGCTTATAGGACAACCTCAGGTGTCATCCTCAGGAATGCTGACAAACACATTTTCTAAGCGAACTATCTTCACAACTACTAAAAATTATGAATTTCATACTCAAAGTCTCTCAAGGATTCCATTCAGTTTTTATAGGTTTGGGCACTTTAGGAGGCCCCACACTGGTAAGGCTAACAGCAAAAAGGGTGATGCTTATGCTAACCCATTATACTGTATCTCATTCATTGGGCCTGGCAACACACATACACACACACACACACACACACAGTCTTTCTCAAAGGCAAGAAAAACATGCTGTGATAGGCACTAAGCCAGAAAAACATCTCTTTTCTTTTAAAATCTTTCTGCTAGCCAATGCCCATGTCCTTGGAGGGTAAGTGGAGCTAGGTACTTCCCTGTCCTATAGATCCCCACCCATCATTTCTGGAAAGATGGGCAATTGCCATGGACCACAACCTCCATGCTCTAGCACCTTTACTGGAGATGGTCAAAAGGCTCATTCCCAGAAAGCACAATGTGCTGGGGAACTGTGGGCTAGCCACCACGCCCTACCCAAGATGTCACCAAGCACAGGTGTTTCTAGTAAGACACACACTTATCATGGAGCAAGGAGCTTCAGGTGACTCTGAAAGGGGAAGCGATGTCTCTGTCTCTAGTTGCTGCCTGGGGTCACATGTGTTCCCAGGAGGCTAGAAAGAGCTCAGGCTGAGGGCATGGAGAGACAGGGAGAATTTCTCCCCCCTCACCAAGAGCTTTAGGCCTGCATACTGGTGAACTGAATGCCTCAAGTGACGGAGGAAGCACAGGACTGGCACTCAAAAACCTACAAGTGACTCAATAAAGCCACTGGGGATCCAAGAAAGAGAAGTGAATTATTGAAATCAAAAGAGTTACACAACCACAGACATGAATGTTATGGATTCAAGTTAGTGAACAAAGAAGCAGCATTGGAGATGCTTCCTAAACAACTCAGGCTAAACCAGGATACAATAGCTAGGAAAAGCTGCTGACTACCCATGGAGAAAGCTGCTCCTAAGGCCAAGCCAGGTTCCTTCTGGGGTTGTTCCAGGATGGGGTGGAAGACGGCATGTCTCCTATGGGTACCTAGGGTCAGCCCTAGCCATTGTGGTACTGGGATTTCTGACATCTCCACCAGGGTAGCACAGCTGACAGCTACACAGGGCTCATATGGGACAACACAAGGAAAGCTGTGCCTGCCCCATGGCATTTCCAATGAATATATTATGGCAAATACGATTTAGCTGAGACCTGATTTTTATATTGTCACTGCAGCAAATATTCAATCTAATGTGAGTTTCTTAGAAGGCATCAAAGTGCTGGGGGCAGAAAGGAAACGGAGGAGAAGGCTTCACCTGGAACATTTCTGAGCGCACTGCTCATGATGCACGCTCCAATAACTGCACAATGAAACCCAATAAAATGAATGGAATCACTGCTATATTCTGCATAAAAACTGTGCCTGGAGACATCTGTGCTATAATCTTGATGGGAAATTATAATGCATGTAAAATTGTTTATGGCAGTCTTTTCCTCTTTGAATAAAATGTTCAAAATAAGTGGAGATGGGTACAAAGAACTAAACTTCGGTTTTATTGCACCCTGCCTGAATCTTCCCTGTCCCTCTCTGAGGCCTCGGAATCTTTATGGAGTTATATTTTCGCCTAATTCTACAGCAAGAGCTGAACTCTAAGGCAAGCAGCTCACAAGCAGCTAAGCATCCTTTATTTTTTGCTTGAGAGCATTCATGGCCTGGTTAGGTTTTTAGTGCATAGGTCTTTGCATTTTTGGTTGTTTTTAATTTTAAAATTGTTGGTATCATGTACATAACACAAATTTTAATCTCAACCATCATAAAGTATGTCATTTGGTGATATCATTGCATTTACATCACTGGGCAGCCATCACTACCCTCCATCTCTAGAACGTTTTTCATTTACCCAAACTACAATTCTGTACTCATTAAACAATAATTCCTCATTCTCCCTCCCCCAGCTCTAGGAAGCTGAGAGGGCCTTTGTGTTTTTACTGTCATTCCCCCACTCCACCCCTATCCTACATGGAAGGCAAATACTCTACCTCTGAGCCATACCCTTAGTCCTTTGCTTTTGAATTTTAATCTGCAATAAATGCAGAAACCCAGGAAGAGCTTGCTTGGTTTCAAGACAGCTGGTCTACCCACCTTGGTAACCATGTATGCAAATATCCAATGAAACAAAAGCCTTTGGCAGGCAAGCTGCTCACCCACGCAGGTTTGGCAGGTGTGATGGCATTCTCCACATCTAATCAGCTCAGAATCAAAGTAGGTGCCTGGTTCACAGTCTGGAATGCAGCTGCCCCGTGCAAGGCTGGAAGAAAGAAAAAGTGAGTTTTTACATCTGTTCCAAAATTCTAATTAAATTATGATCTGCCCTCAAATGCCTTTCACAGGAGGAAATGGACATTAGCGAAGCACAGCACTTTGTGTCACTGCTGTCCTCAGATCAACCGGAGGTCCCTGGGTCTTGGTCCTGGTGCAGGAGGCCAGAGCCTAAGGCAGGAGAGCAGGTTCTCTCTCTTGCTCTGTGCTGGCTTCTCTCCACAAGCTGGTTTCTCTCCATAGCTGTTTCTGAAACCTCACTCTGAACCCCCAGAGAACTGGAACATGGAGCAGTTTCCCCTGTGGCAAGCTGGCTCTCTCTCATTGGTCTGAGTCTCCTCAAAGGGTCAGCACTGGTATGTGAGAAGGGTGTTGGCCACAAGGCTGATCTTCAGTCCTGGATCTGCTCCCATTTTCCCTTACTTAAAACTCTCCTGCTTTACAATAAACTTGAAGTAAGATCCTCTCCTGGGACCTGGCAGCCTGGTCCATATGGTTTCTGTCTTCCACTTTCACCCTACCAGTGCCTACATACGCCTCCCTCAGCTGGACAGCATAGCCAGAGATCACCATCACAAACTGAGCTGTACTACCCAATGCAGGACCTGGCTCCATCATTTCCCAGCTGTGCAACCCCAGGCAAGCCAACAGTCCCAATTTCCTCCTGGTAATTGGTTCCTACAGCACAGCATTGCTTGGAGAACTCACTGAGCAAATATATGTAACTGTTCAGAATCTGGCACACAGCAGTATAAATAAATGTCACCTACTATGATTTCTTTAGTTCCTGGGATTGTATTATGTCATGTGCACACATTTTAAATGGGTTTGCCAATAAACATATTGAGCAAGGGCTCTAGGGTGCATCTGTCAGATCTAGAGAATACTGCTGTGATATGATTTATAATTAGAAATGTGTATTTGGTCTTCATCCTGACACACAGCTATTAAACCCTTTAGAATCAATAGTAATAAGTGTCATTTTGCATGCTAATGAGAAGACTGGTGGCTCTGCAGTAGCTTCAGGTTGGTTGCCAGGTGAACAGACTATTGATCAGAGGACAGGAATTTCCAGTTCCACCATCCCATTCTCAGAGGAGGGGAAAAGACTGAAGGTGGAACTGGTCACCAATGGCTAATGATGTAATAGCTCAGGCCTCCATAATAAAGTCTCCATAGCAACTCCAAGGGAGAAGTTTTGGAGAGCCTCCAGGTTGGTGAACAAAGACATTCACAACTCAGGAGGCTTAAGCAGGGCAACTGCTGTGAGTTCAAGGCCAGCCTGGGCTACAAAAACCACAGGTAGCTGCTGGGAGAGTGGTGTTCCCAGTTCCACAGGAATGGGAGATGCTATGCTCGTAAGCCTCTACTTCATCATGTCCTTTGTAACATCATGTATAATAAGTGGGTAAAGTAAGTACAAAGGCTTCCCTGAGTTCTGTATATATAGCAATTAATCAAACTCAAGGAGAGGGCTGAGGGAACTTTGACTTATAGTCAGTTGGAACATAGGATGGTTTACAACCTGGGGTCAGGGACTAGCCTCAGAAGTAGGAAACAGCCTTGGGGACTGTTCTCAACTTGTGGGATCAGATACTATGTGTAGGTAAATAGGTATCAGAATTGAGTTAGGTTGATAGGATATCCAGTCGGGGCCCACCAAGCCATGTTTTGGTAACCACAGGTGCGCTGTGTTGAGTATATGAGGGTAGAAGAAACATCATCCCCTAATCTTTTACACCTTCAGGTTTTTGAGCTCCTCTGCATGGACGGCAGATGCCCACCCAGGATTTCTTTCTTATCATGGTGCCAGGGTCATTGCACAAAGCAGTTAAATCATGTCTTTAATAACTGACATTCCCTTGAGAATCCCTTCAGCATTTATCCCCCTAAAGAGATAGATGGCCAGGAGGCAGCAGCTAGGCTGCTCTCTCCCTGCTTTAATGTGACAGCAATGATTTGAAGTCACAGCTTAAGAGGATATTGAGCAATAAAAGGAAGCTTTCTGTGGATTATGGCTAGTGATGTTTTCCTACTTTGTTTGTGTTTCTCTCTGAAAACTTATCACTACTGGGACCAAACCTACTGGGTGGCTACTGCCTGAGAGGCACTTTCTCTCCTGCACCCAGTACCTGACTTTCCTCCTTCCCCATGGGCACAGAAATAGATGTCTTGGGACCCCCCTGGCAGCGCTCCTCTGGGAAATGGGTTCCAGGGAGTTGGATCCATGGGGCCGTCCATCCTTGCCACATTCAGCTAGCAGCCTGGGGTTTGAGGGTCCACAGCATGAGGCACCCTGCTGGCATGGCCCAGGCGATATCAAAGCTGGTATCTACTAGCCCTGGCCATGGCCACCAGTGGAATGTCTCCTTTCTCTCTCAGCTTTGTTCCCTTTTGGGGAAATCTCCTTTCTGGATCAGTTCATCCTTTTACTTCTAATCCTGACTTGTCCGGTCAAGAGGTTTAAATGATGGCAGGTATGATATGTCACTTTGCAGGGTCTTGCTCTACCTTCCCATCCCGCAGACTCTGATCTGAAAGAAAGGGGCAGGATGAAGGCAATGTCATTAAGGCAGCCTCATGGAGCCTTCTGGGAAAGTCACTGATCGCCCTTGCATGTAAGTTATGAGTAACACGAATGACTTCATAGGCTGCAGTAAAGATTAAATGGGTCCACACGGGTGAGAACGCCTGCAGAAGAGCAGATGCTCTCACTAAGTTCTTGCAGCTCATTCCCTATCCAAAAGCTTCCCTTTGTGGTAAACTCTAGTCTCAGCAGCATCCAGAGGCACAGAGACTAGGCTAGAGAAGTGGGCCACAGCCTTGCAGTGCCTCAAGATATACTTGCTGCTCCCTACCTAGATCACAGCATCTCCTCACTGCCTTCTGGAAACGTAGGCTCTTGGGCTTCACCTAACCTCACTGCCATTTGGACACAAACCCTGCAGGTTCCTATGCCCCACACAAGTGAGAAGTAAGGGTAATGGATTCCTTTACTTCATTCCTTTCCATACATATAGACCTTTCTATACACACAGGTGTTAGTTCCCCTGCAGCAAACCCCACTGCATGTGATATATTCAACCATTACTTTAACCAGTTCTCCAAATCTGGCCTAAAGTATAAAGATTTGAAGCTGGAGAGATGACTCAGTGGTTAAGAACACTGGCTGCTCTTGCAGAGGACTCGAGTTTGATTCCCAGCATCCACATGGTGGCTAATACCACCTGTAACTCAGATTGAGGGGATCTGACACTCTTTTCTGACCTCCAAGGGCATTGTACCACACAGGTGCACCTGCCTACATGCAAGCAACACACACACACATACACATAAAATAAATAAAATATTTTTAAAAAGAACACTGGCTGCTCTTCCAGAGGACCCGGGTTCAGTTCCCAGCACCTACATGGTGACCAACAACTGCCTGTAACTCCAGTTCCAGGGGATCTCATGCCCTCTTCTGGCCTCCATGGGCACTGCATGGCATGGGTGCACTTACATGTAAGCAAAACACCCATGCACATAAAATAAAAATATTTAAAATAAAATATAGAGATTCTACCCACCCTCCAATTTCTCCTCTTGAACTGCCCCCTGACTTTGACACCTGATTTTGACAGCCAGGACTCTGGACTCTGGGCCTTTGACATTTTCGTTTTCAGGAAAAGATGCGAACATACAGAAGCTAAACATAGTATGAACTTCATCCTTCAGATTGGGGCGAGCTCACCTGAATCCTTCCTCACACACAGTGCACTTCTCAGGTTCATCCACACACTTTTTACAGCTTGGGTGGCACTTAAGGCAGTGTCTCTGACCTGGAGAAAAGCAGGAACAGAGGAAGAGGAGGATCGCATGGAGGGAATTAGAGTGGGAAACACACCCCAGCAAGCCAGGTGGGCTTGGCATGAAGCTCTCCACAGAGTGAATGGGGAAACAACCAGCACATGTTCAGACCACGAACCCAGGTGTGGGATTACAGGTCTCTCCCCTCCCTTTTCTGGAGAAAAATCAAGTCCTTGAATGACCTCAAGGCTTCAGGGGTTGTCCCTTCAGAGGAGACCCACACTCATTGTGCTTATGGTCACAGGGACAGAAGCCAACTCCTGGTTAGCTGAGTAGAACTGAATCAGGTGCAAACCTTTATGAACCTGCAGGGGGTACCTGGGGGCATTGACCCCTCTCTCAGCATGCTCATGGAACTCTTCACTGAGAACTTGTTGGCACCTTTGCAGTGAGGCAGGAATCTGTGTCCCTCTTTCTGGGGAGCTTCTGGGTCACCGTGAGTCCCACCTGCATTTCCATGCATTATTATCAAGGTTACTCATGTTGGTGCCTAGTCAAATCCTAGCTGGTGTGGTTAATAAATGCCAGCCCTGTGAGCCAGGGGTCCTTGTTATACCTCTGTGCAGCCTCCTTGTGGCCCATGGGTAGCATCACATGCACACAGCTTGTGCTCAAAGACAGTAATGAAGGAGGGTGGCTGGCCTGGCCTTGGGAAGAAGATGAGGAGGAAGAGCATGTACTGGGCCCTGAAATCACCTCTGGCTGACAGCCCAGGCAGGTGTTTGCAAAGGCTGTGAATTGTGTCTGCATGACTTGCTGTTTCCCATCTAAAGGGAGTCTGGTTCCTTGATAGCTTGGTGTGTCTAAAGATTTCCCCCAGGAGTAAGAACCGTGGGGGTAAGAGCCCGGATCAATCCATCCTCCTGTGCAGTAGGCATGTAGACAGGAGCACTGGGGGGAATGCCTGCTACCTACAATGTCCTTAGTTCATTTAAGAACCATCCCCTGTCTATTTAACCCACACCTTCTCTTTCCCCTCTTATAGAGTGAGGTAAGTTGCTAAAATACAGGCTGGAGTCCCTGCCCATTCACACATCTTCCTGGGACAGGTGGGATAGCAGGACATCTGGCTTCCTTGCTCAGAGTTTGAGCTCCACCTCTGTCATTACTAGTTGAGACTTCTTATCCCCTTTCAGCCTCAAGACAAAGGGAACACTGCCCCACCCCAAGGGGCATGGTCACTACTGTAAAAAGTCCTGCAGAGACTACCTGGCCCCTCAGAGCCCAACTCCCAGCTGTCAGCAGGGTCCTCTTCTTTTTCAGAAGACTAAACCTTAAGTTTGTCTCAGTAGCACTTCCTCTCTCCCAATTGTGTAAACCCGTGCTGTTGAATCCCCCACTCTCTTCTGGGACGCCTGTGCTGTTACATGGAAGCCCACAGCACTGTCTTTCCTGGATGAGAAATGACAGGATGGGCAGCAGAGCATCCTCTTCTGGTGTCTGAAATGAGGCTGAGCTGAGGCCAAGCCACTTCTGCATTCTGTTCTCAATAATGTGAATTCCAGTGTGGGAGACTCATTTCAGTAGCACTTTGGCTGAGGGTGTGGTGACTGTGCTAAAAAGGTCTGAGCACTGTGATTTCACTGTTCCCTTCCCTTCCATCTAGCCTAGCCAAAGGTCCTGGATAAGAACAGTAGAGAGTACAGGAAGCAGAGGGCCTGGGAAATCCTCCCAGCATAGGGGACCATAGAGAAAGGGAGCCAACTTACCCAGTTTTGGGCCCACAGACTGACCACTTACTTTCATCAGCATAAAGTCCAGCAGGACAAAGGGTCACACAGGTGTTCGTCTCCTGGTGGTGATAGAACCCACGGCGACAAGACAGGCACTGTGTTGGGCTCCTGCCCATACAGGTCTCACACCCCTTGTGGCATCGACGACAGCGTCTTGCTGCTGTGTCCCCAAAGTAGCCCAACGGACATATGCTCAGACACTTCCTATGGGAGCAGGCATAGGTGGGGGCCTGTTTCAGTCCAGGCCTGTGCCCACCCTGTGTGGTGCTTACATGGACTAAGTCCAGGCAGCTGGGTAGAAAGGATTTTCCCAGAGCTTGGATGCCTGTCCTGAGTCAATAAAATGTTGAAGATACAGGATCCCAGGAGGGATGTTAAACTTGAATGGGTGTTCTTAGTCTTGCTGAGAATAGCTGAGAGTGTCGTACACATGTGGAGGTTTGAACACTTTTGGAAGAAGAGAGCTCCAAGTCCACAAACTGGGTATAGTGGCCCACACCTGTAATTCCAACACTTGTGTGGCTGAGACAGGAGGATTCTGAGTTCAAAGTCAGTTTTGGCTATATAAGGATACCTTGTCTAAAACAAGACAAAAAGAAACAAAACAAAACAGCTGTCCTTTCCTGTCCTGAGGACCTGTTTGACTTTCTGCAGGTACTGTGGCTTTGGTATTAACCTTTAGAATTTCTCTGACTGAGGCAAAAACCCTATATTAGTGCCTGTAGGGAACAAGTCTTATGGGCACTGAGTAAAGCTACAGGATAATTAGACTTGCCCAGTAGCAGGATATGTCCTGGGTCTGGGGACTCTAGCTAGATACAGTCATAGCTGTGTCTCACCTTCACTGTGCTCAGCACACCCTGGTCTGGCCCTCAGGGACATGCACCAGCTTTGTTGGGGTACATATGTCACCCAGGCATTCCATGCCAGGCATGTGAAGCACACAATGGGTGTTCAGGTTTGTGAACTGAATACATCAAAAGCACAGCATCTGCAATCCCAGCAGGGAAATGTGGTATAAAGGCCTGAAGCACGGATACTCCCCATAGAAGGGTCAGCCTCAGGGGGGTGGCTGGTCATAGGCTAGGGGTCCCAGTTCAGATCTGCAAGAGTACTGCCTTAGGGGGAATACTTCACAATGGACGTGTGATTAGAATAAAGTTGTTGAACTTTTAAAAAATGCAAAGCACTTAATCTCAATATAATTTCCTTTTTGGAGATTATACAGCTCAACATGGCCACCTTAGTGCTACAGTGTGGGGCTCCAGGACATGTAGACAGCAACCCCAGTCACTCATTACCTGCTGGTCTTGGCATTCCCCAGGCTGAAGTGGACACAGTTCAGGCACTGGTCTGCATTGGGGCCATCACAGCCTTTGTCACCACACTCGGGATGACACGCACCTTAAAGACATAAGCATTTCCTTTCATCTGGAGAGATACTTTCTCATCCCATCCAGCCCATGGGTCCCTTTGTCAGGATACCACAGTCCTGCAAGCCTGTAGGAGCTTCCTTCAAGAGTGGGGTCCTGCAGGGGCTGGGCAGCCAGACTATCATGCTAGAGAGTCACTTGTGGGAAGTGGTCAAAGTTGAGAGCTGAATCTAGTTCAGGCTCCAGTGTCAGAAGGTCTGACTCTCTAAGTAGGAACAGCATGAGAGCAAATGTTACAGCAATTGGTGGCAGTGAGGGTCCAAGGCCAGGGAAGAAATGGTAACTGAGATGCTGAGAGGCATTAGAGCCATTACACAGCACCAGTCACCTTGCTGATTTGTACTGGGAGGGACAAAGCAATGCAGGGTGAGTTTCTGGGATGTTGGGACAGCTCACCATTTGTGATGGTGCAGCATGAATTATGTAGGAAGGGGTGGAAAGTGTCTCTCCATGCCCTTAGGAATAAAGATCATGTGGTGCACCTACTGGTAGACAGGATGGAAGGGGACAGGGAGGCGAACTGTGGGAGGCACTGGACCAAGTACATGATTGTTATCAACTGAGCCCTTCCTGCTGTCTTCTTTTCTGGTTTCCCTCACTCTAGCCATCCCTATTGGGTCACCATTGTCTTCCCTCAGGTCTCTTTAAGTCCCTAAATTCTAACTGTGGGCCTGTCCTGTCGGAAAGGTCATCTAGAACTCCAGGGGAGCTCAGTGAATCCCGCAAACCTTGCCTTCTAGGTCCTTCTGCAGGGACCCACAGGGACACCTCAGGCTGTGGTGAGCATATCTACAGATTCTGCTTTGCAAAAGTGACATAGCTGCCCAAGCCAGCAGGGGTGGGACTCCTGCCTATTCTGAACCCACCTTAGCTAGGAACACAGCTGGGGAAGTGTTTGTGAAGGTTGGAGGAGACACAGGGAGGGGCTGAGGGGAGTATTAGGAGGGCTTCTGAGACTTCAGAGTGGGAAAGCTTCTGTTTGACTTGTGTTGGCAGAGGGGGTAGGAATGAGTTCGGGAGCAAAGAGGAGTTAACTTGTTGGCCAACTGCATTTCAGCATTTGAAGGGGAACACCTGGGGAAGACAAAAGCCCTCATTCTACCAGTCTACAACTGGTCTTTGGCAGGAGCACAAAGCCCTCTTCATTCACCCTTCATGTCCGTAGGCCCCCCAGTGTTAGAGTTTGCATCCTTTCCTAAGCGTCACTGTTGTTGATAGTTCCCAGTTTTCATGGTGGGTCCCCACTTGTCTCTGTTTCCACTGTGAGTGCCTTCAGAGCTGAGGTCTTCCCCAGGACTTTCTAGATGGCCTTTCCAAGTGGTTGCTGGCCCATTCTGTGTTCTAGGCATGCCTGTCACTTCCAAAGTTCAGCACCTGAACCACATCCTCACCTCGCCTCCCAAGACTATTTGTTTACTTCTTTGGAGCCACCTCAAAGCTCCTTGCTCCATCACGCTAGTGTCTGGTCACCTTGCCACCCATCAGGCACACTGCATTCTGCTGTGGCCTTGCCGACTGGTGACTTAAGGGCCTTCCTTTTGCTGTGATTTCTCCCTGAAACCTAGAATCCCTAGATCATTCTTGCTTGGTAACAATGTAACCAGCCTGGCAGAAATGAAGGTATTCTAAAGAGACATTTATGTCTCTCAATCTGACTAGCAGATCCCTGAAATGATGGACCCTAAAGAAATGAGAATTTCCCCAGAAATCTTATGCTGGGAGAAGGTAAAGGCACCAGCAGGAGGGGAAACTGTATCAGAAAGAGATTTATAATTTGTCAGAGTACCATAAAAGATCAGACTGAAGCCCACACAATGATGGGTTAGTGGTAGGTGGGGGCCACACCTTGACCAGGACTACTTAGATGAACATATCGCTGGTCCTCTGTTTAAACTTTAATCTCACTTGAGACCATGCAGACAGATTTAAAAGTGTCACTGGATCTTTTTGTACCTCTTCCCAGTGTGGCCACATTGAATACATCTTTTTCTGCTTTTTACTATTAATTTGCTTGTTTTAATTGGCTTCCCTAGGACAGGTGGTCAAGCTTGGCTTCTTGGGGAACATGCTGTTGACCCCAAGTTCAGTAACAACTTCCTTCATCTGAAGGCGATAAAGAATGTTGGGGGAACAGGGACATGAACCTCATTTCCTCACTCTCTCAGCATGGGAGATGTCTCTCAGCAAGGCAGAATGGGGTCTAGCCTGTTCACTGCAAGCTCCCAGTACCTAGGATGCATCTGACATATAGCAGGTACTAGGTAAATATTTGATGAAGTGTGGGACTATGGATGAAGGGACAGTAGAGGGGAGCCTGGCAAGGGCAGATGCCCTCACCATCAGCAGACAAAATATTCTAGCAAGTCCCAGATCAGCAACAGTACTGGCGAGGGGCCTGGATGGATGCTTCCAGCACTGGTCCATGATATGGATATTACCCGCCCCTCCTCTTTGGGCCTCCCTGCAGTGGAAAGTTTCACCAGCAAACTCTAGGGGAGTCTCTTGCAAGCTCGTGTCTATCTGAAGCAAAAGCAGCAGAATTCTGATACAGCATCAAGGTCAAGGGCAGTAGCCAGCCCTCCACTGAAAAGGTTGGGATATGACATTGTCTATCCAAGAGCTGCCATCAAATTCCATAAACCAACCAACCAGCATGTGGATCTCTGGGCTGTTTTAAAAGCCAAATATTGAGCTTCATCTCACCCATGACACATGATGAATTAAATCCACCTTGTCCCAATCACTTCTTTCCTGGCAGGAATGCTCAGGTCCAGCATCCAGCTGTTACTCATTCTGTTTGTGAGAGTCTTGTTATTTGTGTTGCAATCTGTAATTATGTCTGCTTTGCTTCTTTCCTCAATTAGCTGAAAATGATTCTGAGACCCTGACTTCCTGAGTCACTGTGTAGAGCTCCAAGCAGAGGCTCCCAGTAAAAAAGGGGTGCTCAATTAAAGTTCAGAGCAGGTTGGCTGACAGCTGACCCCAACCCCATGGGGTTTACCAACACAGGTTAGTATGAAAACTCTACCCTCAGTTCTTCGTGGAGCAAATCCAGGATTGAAAAAACAGAGATGAGTTAGGAAAGAAGCTTGGGGTTTCTCTCTCCTTCCCCACATCTCTCTCCCTTCCTTTCTTTATATACTAGGAATTAAATCTGGGGTCTCGTGTAAGCAAGCTCTGCCACTGAGCTATATATCTAGCACTTAATTTATGTTTTTGAGACAGGATCTCTGCAAGTTGACCAAGCTGCCTTCGAACTCTCTGTAAGCCAGATGGACCTTAAACTTACCATCCTTCTTCCTCAACCCCTGCACCCTCTTAACCGCCCCCCACCCCCACCCTGCCACAAGTTGCTGGGATCGTAGTCCTATACCACTATATACCACTAGGCCCATTCACCTTCCCTTGCTAAATGGCTACTTCTTTCTTGAAACTAGGCTCCCCTCTGTTCCCACATCTTTCCAGGCTTCTTGGCCATAGGCTTATAAGAAGTCTGGTGATCTGCCTATATCCTGGCTGGGCTCAGGTCCACTAACTCTCTAGGTGTACCCTACCTGGAATCTTGTTTACCTGTTACAGGGATAGATCCCAGATCTGCTGAACTTAGTTTCACGGGTAGGGCCAGCCCAGGAGTCTGCTCTTCAATCAGGCATCCTGATGAGTCCCTGGGGGTCCACCATCTGCACTGCTGCCACCCAATGGCTCTGTCACAGTTGGCAGACTCTCATCCAAGCTGTTCATTAGTACCACCATGACTAATGTCTTCCCTGTGTGTGCTGTGGCTGCTTCCCTTCTTCTGCTTGGCCTTCTGGGCCTAAGTCCTCTTGTTGTCTAGCCCCCACCCCACACCTTACTTGCTGATGTCACTGTCCACATCCTCCTTTATCCCAGGAACTCCAGAATCCAATGCCACTTTAGTTCACCCCTCATCTCATCTGGAGAAAAGCCCTGACTCTGACGAGGATCCTGGTCTAGTTTGAAGATAGCAGGTCTGTGTTCTCCAGAGATTCACAAGCTGGAAGCTTGGTTCTGAGAGGGGCAATGCTAAGGTGGTGGCACTTCTAAGAGGTGGGCATAACATGTGATTATCAAATAACTGACTTTGAGAGGTGCCTAGGAGACAAATAGCACATCTCTGAGTGTGTCTGAGAAGATGTTTCCAGAGAGGACTGGATCACTGAGGGCCCTGGCCTAGACAACAGTTTCATCCATTGATAGACTCAAAATGTGGACAGATTTTTGGGAAGTGGTAGAACTGTGAAAGGTGGGGCATTGTTGGAGGGAAGTAAATCACTGAGGCACTGGCCTCTCTCTGTTTCTCCTCTCTGTTTTCTGTCTGCCATGTGGTGAGCAGCTCTGCCCTACTACACCTTGTGTACCATGGTGTTCTGCCCCACTGCCCAGAGCAATGGGGATAAGCAATCATGGGCTGAAAGCCCTGAAACCATGAGCCAAAGTTAGTCTTTCCTCCTTTTAATCATTTCTCCCAGGCACTTGTCCTAGTGATAAACTCTGATGAACACATAACGCGAAGTAGCTAGAGCAGTGCAGATGGGATTGATGGTAACTTGTGGGACTGAATTATATTTAGCAAGAGCAGGTTGTTATACAGTGAGGCCTCTCCACACTCTTGGCCCTTATACATCATCCCATATCCTTTCGGCTTCTCCAGTCTCCTGTAATGCAGCAGCCAAGGGGACTTCCCTCAGATGCTGGGCAGATGGACCCTCCTGATCGTACATTTCCAGTCTCCCAAATCCTTTTTCTCTCCATAAGCACTCAGCTTTGGGGATTTTGTTAGAGCAATAGAAAACGGACCAATGAGAGCTGGGTATCCACTGCAGAAGTCCTGTTTTCCTGTGGTGGACAGTCTTGTCAGCTGTTATTTGGGATCCTTGCTGTTTATAAACATTCCCTGATCTTCCCTCTCTCACCTCCTCTATTTCTCATCCCAGGGGGAGCTGGCCTGCCACCTCTCCTGTCTGCCCCTCATCCTGTGCTGCTGGTCCCTGGGATCACTGCTTCATTGAACTCTCCCTGTCCTTCCTGACATGGCATCTGCTCTCTTGTCCAAAAGGTCCAGGTAGAGCCTATGCCAATCTGGGCATGACCACCAATGCACAGTTTGCCTATGGCCAGCTTCCTACCTTCTGGAAACCATAGCTCATATCTCCCTTACCCTGGCTTTGGGCTCTCAAAGCTGGTCCTCACTCCCCCTGCTTGGCCACTCATACCATGGCACCCTCTGTTACTCTGTCCTATCTCTCTGCTAGGTTTGTTTCTGCTGTGATTGGACCATCCTTCCAATTTCCCTCCAGACCATAGGGAGCTTTCCTGAGAGACAGGAACACATTTTATTCCCATGGAAATTCCTTCCTCCACCCAGGCTGTGCAGGGTAGGGACCAAGTGATTTCAAGAGCAGAACAGCATGATGGTGAGGTGCCAGTGTACACGGCTGGAGTCAGTAGCAGATTTTGCGGGAAAAAAAAATCAGCTCTTTATTAATAATTACTGAATCTTGCCACAGTTTATAAATCACAGGGGAAAACAGAGCAGATTAGTCCATACATAATTTAATGCTCCATTTTAAGGGAATAACAGAAGAAATTTAAAATGGAATCGACCATAATTTATGCTTGATTTGGTTTTTTTGGGGGGGTTCTTTTGAAACAGGGTCTCTTTGTAGCCCCAACTGGCCTGAAACTCACTATGTAGACCAGGCTGGCCTTGAACCCACAGAGATCCACCTGCCTCTGCCTCCCAAGTGGCGCGCACCACCACGCCCGGCTTAATTTATGCTTTATTTGTATTGGTGGAGTCTCCATAGATAGTGGAATCTCTGAGATATCGCCCATCATTTTTCAAGTAGCCAGGACATTTAGCTAAGAGAAATATACCCAATCAGAAACACCCAATGTCACATAATCACTGTGGAATCACTCAGAGGAAAAGGAACCACTTTTGACCAGTGTTCTAATAACATCTACAGACAGCCTAGGGGCTGGAGGTGCCCAAAACCATCTCTGTGCTATTGAGGCTCTCAGCTACCTTGCAAATGAGCCAGTGGTCTAGAAGCTGAGGGCCACCATGGCAGTAAGGTGCCACAGAAGAAGAAATCACATGAGTTGTCTTTACGTGCTATGAGTTTTTGAAAATGTTTTGCATAGTATCAACCTGTACTTAATCATCTCTTGACACCCTCTTCTGGGTCTTAATCCCAACCCTGGTCACCTCTCAACCACCAGCCTATTTTTTTTTGTCTATGTTGTGGAACCCAAGCTTCCTGGGACCCTGTAAGTAACTGTACTCTTCTCACTCTGGCCACCCAAAGTAGATGAACTTGAGAGTCAGGAGACTAAGTCCTGTGGTGAGGGCCATTGAGGAAAGGGGCAACCCTGGAGGTGGCCAATTAACCCTGGGAAAGCTCCGGTTTCTGGTTGGGCATATAGGACCTTCCCAGCCTGGGAAGGTCAGAGAGTACTTACTGGTTTGAAGCATACTTACTGGTCTGTAAAGTATTAGGAGAGCCTTGGATGGAAGGAGCTGTGTGAGTGCAAATTACCATCATTATTACAACTTCCAGGCAAGACAAGACTTACAACCATAACCCCGCCTTTTGCCAGGAAGGGCCCCACCTTTGAGAGCTACAGTGAAAAATAAAGTCGGGAGGCTACCCATCTCCTATCACTCAAGTTTGTTACCTGTGTAATCTTCCTCATCCTCAGGAGTCTCAGCCTGGGATGGTGACCCAGCAGCCTTGGGAGAAGGCTCCAGCTCCAGGACTGACAGCTCCAGCATCCGTGAGCGAGACTGATGGGAGCTGAAGGTACGGTATGGGTGTTCCGCTGTGCCATATAAAATGAGGTTCCATTCTTTCAACTTTCCTGGAAGGCACCAAAACCAGTTAACCTGGGAAGCTCTGGATGTACCTGCAGGCCTCAGCCTGTGTAATAGCCTCAATTCATCACTCATAAAAGCATCAGGTGCTGTTCAGCTTCTCTTCCCACAGCAGGGCACTGCTGTTACCCTCACTTCCTGCTCACCTGCTGATCAGGTGCATCTACGGCTTGGGCCACATGCTGCTTTCCCTGACATCTCCTTTCTGCAAGCCAGGAGTCCTCTATCCTTGTGCTGCCCCAGGCTTCCTGATCTGCGGGGAGGGGTTTCAGCTGATTTGAACACTCTGTTGTCCTGGAGGTGTTCTTGGTACCCTGACTGGTCCCTCTTCAGCCTTCTTTGAAGATGCTTCCTCCAAGACAATGGGTACCTGCCCCTCTGGGGATATCCAGTGGGTAAACTGGGAAGCAGGCCTAGCCAAGAGCCTTGTTCCTTGACTTCCCATGGGATACGAGGTTGCACTGAAGGGCCCTGCTAATTGTGTCCTCCACCCCAGAACACAAGAGGACTTGGTCTCAGACTTGGGGCTCCATAGCCAACCCAGGTAAGAGGTATGGGGTGGGGAATGAGGATGGGGGGGGCGGGAAACCCAAGTGCTTATAGAAGCTAAGGAAGAGAAAATGTGCTCCCAGGCAGGAGGGTGAATGGCAAGATGGGGCTTTGTGGGAGGGACATGGAATAGGTATAGGGAGGCCAGTGTTTGACAACAGGGCATTCAGCCTATGATGGGAGTAGCAGAAGCCCTGTGCCATCCTTTCCCTCCACGTGGAAACAGCAGCTTTGTATCTAGGTCTGCTCAAGAGTGAAGAGAGACAGAATGCCTAACCTGAGATTCCCAGATGCATTTGTGTGTGTGTGTGTGTGTGTGTGTGTGTGTGTGTGTGTGTGTATGTGTTCGAGTGTGTGCTCTCCCACACATGTGATGCTGGGCATTGAGTTAATCCCCACACCTTCAGGTGAACTTCTGGTGTCATGAAAGCACTGCAAGTCAAGTAATACATGTCTGTGTCCACCTTACTCACAGGTCACCTTTTTGGGCTTTCTTTCCCTTCAGCAGCATCCCCTGCATTCAGAGCAATGGTGTTTAGTAGGTCACCAATATCCTTTGCACAGATGAGGGGCTGGACTGCATTCAGTCTTTCAGCACTCAGGTGAAGGTACTTGCTCCCTCTGTCAGCACTCATGTGAGGGGCAGCTCTGACTCACCATGGGATGCCCTCCCCCACATTATGATGCAGCAAAAAGGTTTCACCAGATGCAGGTAACGTGCTCCTGGACTTCCTAGCTTCCAGAAGCATGAACTACAGAAACCTCTAATCACTGTAAATTGCACAGCCTCGGGTATTTTGGTATAGCCACATAAAACAAAGTCCTTGCTCCACATCAGTTCCTGCATTACCTAAGGCTGGCCTGACTTGGACAGCATTAGAGGATGGAGGCAAGGTCCTTCCACTTGAAGAAGCAGACCTTTTCCAAGTACACAGCCTTCCTGAGGGCCTGGTTTCTCTAGATGCACAGTGGCTCATCTCCCTAACACATTTCACAGTTGCACTGTAAGTGCTTCACGGGACTCCAGGTGCAGAAAGCCCAGTCACGGCAATGGATCTTCATCTGTCCTCAACTCCTTAGGGTCAAATTAAAGCTGTATTTCAAAACCACACAGGCATCTGGGCTCTTTAACTGCAGAGTGATGAACTGTGATTAAGGTGGGAGTGTTTGACTGAAGGACAGAGATCGAGAGCTCTGGAAGCTATAATTTGAGCTAAAATTTATTTCAATCCTATAGGATGTCTTCAAAAATATCCACAAAAAGCCTACTCACTGAAATTAGATTCTTATTTTTGGATACAGTTTTAGTAGAACAAACAAAAGGAACTGCTCTGCCCTCAGGATCAATAGTGTCTGGTATGGAGGGGGAGAGAAAAGAAAGAGTTCCCAGGAAGGAGAAAGGAACAGAAGGGGAGGCTGGTGTGGAAGGGAGATTTCATTTATATCATAGCCCCTTAGACTGATTTTTCTCAAAAGCACAAGCACATAGCGTATTTCCTGTTCATGTATATAAATTTAAAAAGCATAATTAAAAAAAAAACCTATAAACAAAGCATCTGCATGGTCAAAGGAGATACACTAAAAAAAAAGTGGAATGTGAGGCTTTTGTTTCTAAATGAGAAATGTAAAATGACAGCCCCAAATCCAGAGCTATAAAAGTAACACAGTGAAACTTTCCCTCCCAGTGGGTGACTAGAGTTACTCAAGTGTCCTTCCAGGAATAGTTTGTCTGTTTATCTGTTTGTTTGCAGTTCCGGGATTTGAGCACCTAAGGGCCTTGCACATTCTTGGCTAGCCCTCTACCACTGAGATACAACCCCAGTCAAGGATTTTAGTCTTTGTGTGTGTACGTGTATGTATGTGTGTGTGTGTGTGTGTGTGTGTGTGTGTGTGTCCATAGGGCCACACTGGATGGATGTCTTGCTCAATTAGTCTTCAGTTTATTTTTCGATCTTTTTTAATGATTAAAAAAAAAACTTAGTTGAGGTATCGTACATTTCATATCACAGTTTTTAATCAAATTTTTACCCCCTAACCCATCCATATGCTCCCACTGGACCTCATGCATTCCATCATATATGTTAAGTCCTATCCAGTCAAGCATTTGTACCCAGACATCCTTTGATGCAAATTCATCCACTGGAGTCAACTTACCTAGAGATCATTGGTAAGGCCTACTCTCCCTCACCCAGTAGGTAATCAGTCTCCAGTAGTTCCCAGACTAGGGCCAACCTGCCAACCATTTCCCTCGCTCCACTCTGGGCCCGAGTCTGAGTCTTCTTTTTGAGTCTGAGTCTTCTTTCTTTTTTTTTTTAACTGTATCCTCAGTTAACCTTTAACTCACTGTGTAGACCAGGCTGGCCTTGATCTCACAAAGATCCACCTGCCTCTGCTGGGATTAAAAGCGTGAACCACCACACCCAGTCACCTTATTTTTTGAAAGATTTATTTATCCATCCATTCATTCATTTACTCAATCATTCATTCATTTAATGTGTATATGTTTGCCTGCCTGAGTTTATGTGCACTGCATATGCACAGGAGCCCAGTGAGGCGAGAGGAGGGCATCAGATCCCCTGGAATTGGAGTTTTATACAGTTGTAAGTTGCCATGTGGGTGCTGGGACTCAAACCCCAGTCCTCAGTAAGCACTCTTAACCACTGAGTCATCTCTCCAGTCCTCCACCTTATTTTTTCAGACAGAGTCTTTCACTGAACTTGGAGCTGGCTGATTTGGCTAGATTGACTGGCTAGCAAGCTCCAGGGATCTGCCCATCTTTACCCTCCCCAGTGCTGGGTTACAGATGCATGCTGAAGCACCTGGGTTTTTTAAGTGCTTGGGATTCAAATTCAGATCTTCATGCTTATGAGGCAAGCAGTTTAGTGATGGAGCCATCTCCTCAGTCCCTCAAGTGTTTTATTCTTATCTAAGCAGATATGAACATATATTCTGCCCCATCCCCTTTATTAACATACCTTGTAGCCTGTGCTGTACCCTGCTTTTTCCATTAGCTATGCACTGTGGAGGTATTCCCTTGCTGCTCTGGTATTTCCCTTGCTGTTTTACTTAAACAGTCTTCCACAACCAACATTTAGGTTGTTTCCAAATCTTTGCAACTGTACACAGAGCTCTAACTTTGTGATGTAACTTTGGTCACACAATGCAGAGAAGGGGACACAGTCTGCATCCCAGGCCTGCTCCCTACTGGTTTAGTAACTTTGGGCAAGTTGCTGAGTCTCTGTTCTTCAAGTTCTGCATCTATGGAGGAGAAGTGATAACAATTCTACAACTTAGAGAAGTGCCTTGCATGCTGTATGCTGTTTTGTTTTGATGGGATCTCACTATGGATCCCAGGTTAGCTTGGAACTCAAGCTCCTTTTCTTGGCCTCCCGAATGCTGGGACGACAGGGGTCCCACCATGCTCAGCTCATTTCCTGTCTTTGTAAATTGGACTCCCAGGCTACCTTCCTGGAAGCAGGATCCAGCATCAAAAGTCGCGGACCCCTCAGGGCCTGGCATAGGATCTGGCCTGCCAGTGTGACAACTCCAACAGCTTCACTGTGCATTTCTCTGCTGTGAGTTGAGCACCTTTAAAATGAAGAGGGAAATGCTTTTCTGATTTGATAAAATCAGAAGCAATTTATAAGCTCAGAAATTTACTAGAAATACTTGCTCAGAATAAATTATGTACTCTTGCTCTGGTGTGTGTTACTGAATATGTTAAAGCTGTAATGAAATGCTTCTTCTAATCATGTAGTTATTAAAAATTAAACAAGAAAATAAATTATGAATCTTCGACGACATATCCAAGCACATCAACGCCACATCTGCAGCCAGCCCAAGTGAAACACGTGGTGTTTTGCTCACACCTGGCTTGTAGTTTTCGTTCCGTCCATCTGTAAGATACTTATGAGCACCTCTAAGAGCCCAGACAGTGTGATAAGAAAGTGTGGAACTGAGAAACAGCAGGGCAGAAAATGAGTTGGCAGGGAGAGAGCCTCTGGGCCACAGGAACCCTGCATGTGCCCCGACAGTACAATTCCCCTTCTAACAAGTATGATTCCCAAAACTTGTCCTGTGGTTACACGCCAATTCCGAGTGCATGTCTCCCTTTTGCCTTGTACTTCGGTGCTCTTTTCACTTTCCTGACCAATGGAGTCACTGTTTTTCCTGGCTTCAAAGACATAAAGACAAACATAAAGACTTTCCAGGGCTGGAAAGATGGCTCAGAGGTGAAAAGTACTCGCTGTTCTTCCAGAGGACCTGAGTTTCATTCCCAGCACCCATGTCAGGCAGCTCACAACTGTCTGTGATTCCAGCTCCAAGAACTACAACATCCTCTTCTGGCCTCCATGTGCACCTGCACTCATTTGCATACCCTCCCCCCACATACACGTAATTAAAAATAAAAATAAAATATTAAAAAATCCAGACAACC